CCGCATGTGGTATTTTGTAGAAGAGCCATACTCAAGGAGCCGCAGTTTGCCGACCACTGCCCTAGGGCCTAGGCAGTTGTGAGAAAAGAGGATAAAAGGCCCTAAGTAGTCAGCAAGTGTAACAGAGTGAAGACTGACAGGAGATGGCAGAGATGGAAGCATGACTTGAATTAACTCTTTAGACCTCAGTTTGCTCACCTGCAAAATGGGGGAGTGCATTCGGGGGAGGTGAACCACATGGTCCCGATTTCATGGCGCTGCGACTTGTTTCCCATGGTTCTTGTGCCCCCTGAACAGCTCACTGTAGCTTTGAGGGAGGGCATGTGGGGAAGGGCCGGGGCAGAATAAAAGGCCAGGGAAACCCCTTTCCAGTGAGGCCTCAGCAAATACTCAATTGAAAGGGTTCAGCGAGGAAGCACACAGGGTGCTTGTGTCTGTGGAAGTTCTTGAATTCTCATGGATTCGATCCTCGGCCTTTGGGAACTCTGTGGAACATGTTAGGGTTTAGCTCAGCCCAGGACACACAAGTTGCAATTTTCACTTAAAAGTTGCCACCTGGGATCCAGACTTGGTCTTCAGTGGCCAGGAAGCAGAGCTGAGGTGGGCTTCTCCCGACCTGCTGCACACATGGCAGCTCCAGCTCCAGTGTTTTGCAGACGTGGTCTTTGCTTTCCGGCATCTTTCAACCTAACAGAGATAAAAAGAACCCCCAATAAAAAGGGACTTCAATGGAGTCTCTTGAAAAGAAAGCAGATATGCTTAAAGTATTAACACATTGGCTCTAAGTGTAGTTCATATTTATAACCGCATGAGGAATTTGTATGGGATGTGGGAAGAAAGCTCCAAGACATCGAAATAGAGAGACTTGAGAGGTGGGGGCTCGGGGCCACCTCACTTCTCTTGGCTAGCCGGCTCTCCTCTGAGCAGCTGGGATCTTAAGGACTGCAAGGAAGAGCAGGGAGATGGGTTACCTTCTGGAGAGAATGCTCCAGTTGAAAATGGTGACCTGGTTTAAGATTCTGTTTTGATGGGTGAATCATGCAGAATATCATACTGTGGAATTTGTGTTTCCTGATGGGAAGTTGTTGGTGAGGCTTGTCATACAGCTCTAACGAGGTTCACACCTTTAATCAGTGCCTAAACGTCTCTGGCGGGGTCTGTGTCGGGAAACTCAGACAGCACTGTTATGCTCATTTCACATTTGGAAACTTGAGGAGCACTAGGGCTTATCTTGGACTACACGTGGGTGACCATCTGGGCTGGTCTGCCAGGAACAGCAATGGTTTCTGCATCTTGTCTTACTGTCATTATTAATAGTGTCCCTGTTCTCTGTCACCAGCCCTTTGGTTTACATCTAAGGATAAGGTCACCCAGCCAGCTGACACACTGCTGGCAACACTAGGACTGAAGACCCTACATTTCAATCACCAGGTCATCCATGTAAGCAAATGTTTTCCCAGTTGTCCAAAGTCCTTAATGAGTGAGTTACAGGGTGACATACAGCAATGTGTCCCTTAGAAAGGAGACATGTAACACATCAAACATGAGGTCTCTGGTTGAAACATTTTGGTTTTGTCTGTTTTTCACTTTGTTTTGTTTTTCTTTCACGGTTATCAGCGCCTTTGAAAATCACATTTATGACCTCAGCAAGCATTGGGTATTTCTTTTATGTCCTAATGTTGTGATTTGAAGCCATCTTATCCTTAGGATTAAAAAAAAAAATTGAAACATATCAGAGAATTTCCATGTATGTTTGGTTCTAGCAATGATTTCTCTCTTGAAAAACTTACATAAAGGAGGTTGACATGCTTTCCATAGTCCTGTAATTTTTTAAAAAACATATATTTTATTGATTTTTTACAGAGAGGAAGGGAGAGGGATAGAGAGTTAGAAACATCCATGAGAGAGAAACATCGATCAGCTGCCTCCTGCACACCCCCTACTGGGGATGTGTCCCCAACCAAGGTACATGCCCTTGACCGGAATCGAACCTGGGACTCTTCAGTCCACAGGCTGACGCTCTAGCCACTGAGCCAAATTGGTCAGGGCCACAGTCCTGTAATTTAATTGGGCTGTTGAGAAGTCATATGTAATTATGATTAATGTCCATTATGATAGATGCCCCTTTAAGTTGTGTTATCAAAACCAACAAGGAGCCAGTACTATAATAGGTTAGCTCTGACTGCAAAATCACCATCTTTCATCCCATCACCTGCCTTTCCTTTTATTTTAATTTTTTAAAATATGTTTTTTATTGATTCAGAGAGAGGAAGGGAGAGGGAGAGATAGAAACATCAATGATGAGAGAGAATCATTGATTGGCTGCTTCCTGCACCTATGGATCGAACCCAAAATCCCGGCATGTGCCCTGGCCGTGACCTCCCGGTTCATGGGCCAATGTTCAACCACTAAGCCACACTAGCCAGACTTGTCTTTCCTTTTAAATGATACTTTTTTGGTGTGTTAGTTCATTTTGAGTCATGAATTGCCAACATGGAGCGATTAACCAAGAAATAGTCTTGCACCTTCCTTGGTTAACAGAAATGGGGTTGAACGTTTAGCCCCTGGTATCATTATTGTAGCTCTCTATATAACTGGAGGAAAATCAAATTTCAAGTTTTTCCCACTTCCCTTCTGCCTTTCACAGCAAATTTCAAAGGATAGCAGTAGGCAGATTGGTTTATAATGGCAATTTTTAAACCCAGAAATTACATTAAACCGAAAAGCATGGTGTACTTCAAATAGTTTTATTCCAGAAAACATCTCCACAGCAACAGCACTGACAAGAATCGTATTTTTCATGAAGATCTGACTTACAGAGCTTATGTCGATGGCAGAGTTCAGTTACTGTTTTCCAGAGTCCCCTCTCAGAAAAACTGACATTCAGCAAAATGTTCATAGTAAGTTCTGTGTGCTTTGGGGAGAAACGTAGAGTCAGTGCAACAACAGCATTAATACAGTGCCTTCTCACATTGTTTCCCATTCCTGTGCTCAAGGAGGAAGAACAAAGGGCTAGTAACCAGTCCAAAAGAAGCTTTCCCCCATAGAATGGTCAGGAAGTTGAACTATTCAAGAGAACATGTCGTGCTGTAATATACGTCCAGATTTCATGGTCCTTGATGATTTATGTCAATTCACTGGGAATGCCTTTCTCTGTTGTGCATTCCACATAGAGTTTGGCTTTCAGGAACATCTACAGAGGAGGCAGTCTGCTTTGTCCATGGGGGAGAGGAGGGTCCCAGCACGTGGTCTGCTAAGGGGGTGCCTGGGGCGGCCTGGAAACTAAACGGAGTTCAGAACTAGTGGGAGAGCTGCCCCCATTATGTCCATCTGGGGGTTAATGGGGCCTCTGAAGGGCTGTTCTCACACTTTCCAGATAGCCCCAAGAAAGTATCATCTGCATCTAAAAATGGATTTTTTTCCTGCTTGGATTGAACTAGTTAGGAACCCACACACACTTGGGCAGGGCCTGGTGCTGTCTGTTGTAGGTGCACTCTTATCTCTTTCACTCTGGGGATTTTGTCTCTGTGCTATGTCAAGTGACAAGGAGGAGCTGCTAGGAGCAGGCTGTTCACACACCAAAGCAATCGGGTTGGTGTTCCAGCCCCAGGATCAGGGACATCTGGTTTAGACTGACACTCTGGGGTTGCAACCTCTTTTCTCCTGTCTCTTCCTCTCCCTGCCCGCCCCCGCTTCTTCTCCCCTCCCTTTCTCTCTCTCTCCTCAGACCCCCCATCCTTCTGACATTAATAATTTGAAGACAAATAACAACAGCGATACCAGGATCAGGATAACCTGGACCTGAGGGACTGAACGCAGATCCCTCCTGAACCTGAAGACATAGTAAGGATAAAACAAGTTTCATCTGGCATTCGCCTGAGGGCCACCAGTACAGACACTGTGTCAGATTAGATCCTCCTTAAAGCAAGATGACCAACTAATCCTGTTGCAAAATCATGGAGACTTCAAGTTACCTGACCTGTCCACCCACCTATGTGCATGCATTCATAGGAGATTCACCACATCTTAGATTTCAAGGCAAGTCCTGTACGGAGTTTCTTCTTCCCTTTCCATTGTGAGTTCCGCTCACTCCCTGGCACGTCCACTTTCCTTTTGGTCTATATCCTTTGTCCTCTAGGGGCTTCCGCATCTGTTTGCCCTAAATGGCCAAAATATGTCCCCCACACGGCCAAATGCACAGGGACCCAAGGTCAGAATCTGGAGGATAGGCCAGCCATTGTTCTGCACCAATTCTTTATCTAAATTAATCTAAAGCCTTGCCTGATTGGCCTGTAACCTGGGTCAAGGTATGGTCAGCAGGCTGACCATTGTCCTGTTCCCCCCTCAACTGAAGGGGCCCACTGTACATTACAATATCACATTCTTCCTACTAGTGGTTGTACTACTTTTAGATATTGATGTTGCTTAGATTATTTTTCCATCTTTTTGTGAACATTGTGCCTATTTTCACTTTCTGGGAAATGTGCCAGTTTTTCAAGGACTGGGCGAAAAACAAAATAAATATTTGTAGGTCGTTTAAAAGGACAAAGTAAGTCGGACATACCTCTGCCCATCCAAAGTAAAGCATTCTAGTTGCTTTTCAGATATCTTAAACTAATTAACTTGAGTCAGAAGGTTGATTTCACTAAGTGTACTTTTCAGCTCTGTGATCCACGGTGTGTGTGTGTGTGTGTGTGTGTGTGTGTGTGTTGGGGAAAGGTTCCGAGTCATGGTGTAGGCAAATGAGTACAGACTTTTTAAAGCCCAGTTTAAGTGCTTGAAATGGACCGTGTCAAAAATAAACCACCCCTGTGTGTGCTCATCAGGCTGCAAGTAGTGCCAGAAAGTGTTTCCTTAACAACATTCAGCAGACACTCTTTCTTTCAAAAAAAAAGTTTAAGGGATTTCACTGAAATTTGGTCCGTTCAGCAGTTGGCTGTTTATAAATATGCGTAGCAGCCTATGTGGGAAGCTGACTCAGTGTCTGAGATTAAAGAGACCAGAAGGTTCGCGCCGGTGATCCCGGTGCAATGTTCCCCACCCCCGGGCTGCGAGGGCTCAGCGGTTGGCCGAGGTGGAAACAGGCAGCCCGTGCCCCTGGGAGGGAGGCCCGTCACCTGTTGGGGCCTCGGGAGCGCGCGGCGCGGGGGCGGCGGCGGCGGCGGCTGGGAGCGCAGCCCCCGTCGCTCCGGGACTGTCCGCGGGCGGGGGGCGCCGCACGGAGTCGCGGGGAGGCCCGGCGCAGGAATGCACTTTTCTCCAGCCCGAGAGACTTCGCACGGGAGTGGAGAATAGTTTGGGGTGGGGTTTCGCACCGTCTCCTCCCCCCCACCCCCGGATCCCCTTCCAGGCGCTGTTGGAGAGCTCTCAGACCTGCGCTGGGAAGTTTAAAGAGCAGAGGGGAGTTGTGCGGTAGGCAGGGACAATGGAAGAAAATGAAAGCCAGAAATGTGAGCCGTGCCTTCCTTACCCAGCAGACAGCAGACACAAGCGGGGTAAGTAACAGACTCATTCAAAGATGGAGTTACGGTTCCGCGCGCCCCTCGCCGCTGGCTGCGTTTCGTAAGTGGAGACAGGGCTCAGGGCAAAGAAAAGGAGTTACTTCCTGGGGCGGTGCGTTTTCAGAACTGAGCGGAGAGCTGTGATTTCTTGGGTGTTTTACTTTATCTCCGGCAGGATTTTCGGAAGTGGCGTGGTGATGCCCCTCTTGGAGCACAGTCAGCAGGCAGTGGCTGCTGTATCTCTAGGCAAAGACAAATGTGTCGCTAAAAGCAGCTTTTCCTACTCCCTGCTCCGGCGCGGGAGAAAGCAGTTGTTTCTCTGGAGCCCTCCCTAGGGCGGCAGCATTCCCATTCATTGGTTGGGGGATTTCACGAGGCAAATGCATGATGCATGCAAGTTTTGTAGCGTCTGCGAGCTAAATCCCAGAGTCTGGGGGATGTTTCATTTTACAGGTCAGAACAGCCGGGGAGCCGTGTACATCTGGATGATAGGTGGGACTCTGAGTCTTCTGTGTGTTTTAATTCAAAAGTTGAGAGTTGTTAGACAATGTTGGTGAGTTTTCTTTGGGCAGTTTCCCTTTAATTGTTTTTATAATAGACTTGTCTTTTCCGTAGGGAATTTCCAGAAGCTTATGTTGTTCCAAAAAAAATTCACAGAGGGGTTGGGTAGAGAAAAGTCTTATCTGCTTGCTCTCCAGAGCCTGCCGCCAGAACCTACCCTGCAGCACCATGCAGACAGCTGTTCATAAACCACCCCTACCCACCCACCCCAGGCTCATCTGGGCCCAGTTAGCAACTCAAAGTCTTGCTTTCGGGACTGCAACGCTGTGTGGGAGTAGGGATTGTGCACAGGGGAAAAGGTGTGTGTGTGTGTGTTTTTTACGACTGAAGGGAAGTAACAAATGACTCATCCACACTGAAAATGCAAAAGTCAGCCAGACAGAAGAAAATGCAATTACAAGTGGTAGAGCTCCCCCCCCCCCCGCACCCCCTCACACCCCCAACCCTCCACCTCTTCACTCCCCACCCCCCCCACCTCTTCACCCCCCCACCCCCGGTGAAATGCAGGAAACTTTAAGCTTAGAAACCCCTGGAAAATCCCTGAGTCTTGTATTCATCGGTCCTGGCTTCGGTTTGCACTTCCAAAGCAGAGCATTCTCCTTGATGGCGCGCGGTCAGTGGGGTCCAGCAGGAGATAAGGCTGCCTCCCGCCCCTCCCCCACCCTTATTTGATGGGACCGAATCCTAAGGCAGGAATTCAGCCTCTGGGCCTTTGCTGCAATAAATGGCTCACAATCTAGCTGGGCCATTAGAATGGGACCAATTTAAGAAATAACTTTCAAACAAGCACAGCAATTGAAAGATGCTTGAGAGACTTGAGCTGGCCACAAAGAGAAAGTGTGACCACTTTATTCATTTATTCATTTGCTCAATGAATACCGAGCACCTGTTCTGTAGTAGTCACTGTTTTAGCTACTGGGGATCTAGCAGCAAACAGACTAATAAAAGTACCTGCCTTCACTGAATTTATATTCTAAGGGCTAAGTTTGGGCAGATGGGGGCAGTAGAGACAGATAATGAGCAAATAAGTAAAATATATAGCATGCTAGATGGCAGGATTGCTAGGTTTTGCAAATAAAAATACAGGATGCCCAGTTACATTTGAATTTCAGATAAACCACTAATAATTTTTTTTTAGCATAAGTATAGTCTGTACACGATTGAAACATACTTATGTTAAGAATTATTTATTATTTATCTGAAATTCAAATTTAACCAGCCATTCTGTATTTTATCTAGCAGCCCTATTAAGTCTGTGGGGGAGAGTAAGGCAGGGAATAGGGAGTGCTGGGGTGGGGGTGGGGGAGGTGAAACTACAGATAGAATTATTAAGGGGAGCCTCATTGGTGTGATATTTGAACAAACATCTGAAAAAGACAAGGGAGGGAATAGCAAGGACATGGTCAAAGAACAGCAAGAACAGGAGAGACAGATGGGAGGAACAGGGGTTAAGAGGTAACCCCAGGCCAGGTCATGCAGGGACTGTGGCAGTGTGGTAAGGACTTGGGCTGTTACTTCAAGGGCGGTGAGGAGCTGCTGGCGGCTCTGACTTGTCTTACAAAGGGTAATACTGGGTGCTGTGCTGAAGGCTTCTGCAGTAAAACAGGCAAGAGATGGCGCTAGCTTGGACCAGCAGGTAGTAGAGCATCAAGTGGTGACAAGAAATGGTCTCGATGTCCATTGAAGGTAAGGCCAAAAGAATTTGCTGAGGGGTTGGATGTGGGACATCAGAGAACCAGAGGAGTCAAAGATAACTTCAAAAATGTTTGTCTGCACAGCTGAACTAATGGAGCTGCCATTTCCTTAAACCGGAAAGCACGTGAGGGGAATAGATGAGAAGGTGTTTATGGCTTGGGTCTGTTAGGATTTGAGAAGTGTATCAGGCATCCAGGTAGGGATGTTGATTAAGATTTGGGTACTCATGACCGGAATTGAGAGAGGACTGGGGACTGAGAGTTGTGCTAGGACGGGGTCTGTGTGCAGAAGGAAAGGAAAGGTCGGGAGATGTGCCCTGGAACACTCCAGCAGTTAGAGGTCAGGCATCTGGGAAGGGGGGTGGCTGGAGAGGTGGTGAAAGGGGAATAAGAATCCAGGTTAGATTTTTAAGATCCCATAGAGTTATGGGTAAGAATGATGCTGTGAAGGAGTGTGGCTTTATTTCCAGTTTTTTGGTCAGCACAAGAACCACAAAAGGGAAGGCAGTCCACTGATGCCCACTTCACCCATCACACCGTATGTCCATCCCGGTCACTGCACCCTCCATTGTATTGTTTATGTACTATATGTGTTTCAACCAATTACAATGTGGTATTCCAGGGCACCGACCCTGTCTTCATCCTTACATTCCCAGAATCCAACAGCATCGGACATGCAGAAGGCACTGGAGAAATACTTATTGAACAAAGGCTTTGAGTTTATCAATCTACTATAGATAAGGACCCCTTGGGTGATCATGTAACTTATTGTCCAAACGGAGACACTTTTGAGAGTGAAAGGGAACACTATAAATAATTTCTCTGAGACAACAGTTGTAACCCAGATCTCTTTTTGGCAAACTGGGGCATATGGTTGCCTCAGGAATAGCTCTAATCAATGAGATGTCCATGGCTGAATAGGCAGGTGAAAGTGTACTGCCAAGTGCATTGTGCAGAGCAGGCACTCAATGATTACTGGTTGAATTTGAGTCTAACTATATCATGTTCCCTTTGGAGGCTATGGGCTCTTCAGAGTGGCCCTTGGGGGATCCTTGGGATGCATATATCTGCCCACAGCACCCTTGAGGGTCTGCTTTTGTCTGGCCCCTGAGACCTTGAAATCTCTGTGCTGGTGAAGTGCTGCCAGCCACCTGCTTGCCTCCCCCACCTCCCGATTGCCAGTGTTTGAAGATACTGAGTATTCACTATGGTGGCAGTCACTTTACGGTGTGTAAGTGCAGCAAAGCAATATATTGTACATCTTCAACTCAGACAATATTAGATCAATTACATCTCAGTGAAGCTGGAAAAAAGAAATTGAATTGGCAGACCCACAGAGTGCAAGCCTGGAGAGTCCCAGACATTCCGGTCTTCGCTCAGAAGTCAGCTCTAAAATTTCCCCATCAGTCTCTCTTCCTTATCCTGTTTTATTCTTCAGAGCACTTATCATGATATGTCATTTCTATTACATATTATTTGTTTATCCGCCTCCTTAATTATAATGTTGACTCCACCATAAGGGAAGGGAATTAAGTCTCTCTTGATCACAACTTTACTATGTGTCTTAACTCCTTTCAGTGTACAGAGCAGGCACTCAGTAAATATTTTTGTGAATGAATGAATTCACTAATCAACTAACCAACAGTTGAGAAAAAATGCTTTTCTGGGTGAGGAAGGCGCTGTACCTATTTTGCCTAAAATCTATATGAGAAATCCTCTTCCTCACTTACTTAATTTTTAAAGGCTTTTTTAGAGGAATATAATGGCCCGGTTTTAGGTGTACCTTCTCTGCTAATTTGCATATGGTGATCTTTATGATATGAATAAGGGAGCTGGAAAACTGGTGAAGCCTGTGGGCCCCCAGCAGCACACAGGATATATATTAGTCAGATAGGCTGATTGCTCTAACAGTCCTTGTGACTTAGCATAATCAGGGTTATTTCTCAAACACAGTAGAATGTGGATCTCCTGGACGGTCCATCTCCAGGCTGACTCTGGGACCCAGGCACCTTCTGTAGAGTCAGGACACCATTCCCCAAGGCCTAGGAGGCTCTCCCTGGAACTTTCAGTCAACTGGCCAGAGAGGAAAGAGGAAGAACATCAAAGATAATTCAGGAGGTCCAGGGGCCAGGACTAAAGATGGCTCACACTTCTGCATTGGCTGGAATTAGTACAGGGCCCCAGCTAGGTGAGGGGGCTGGAACACACAGTCTTCCTGTGTGTGCAATGGGAGGATGTTATGGTTTGAATACGTAGCAGGAGTGGGGAACCTTTTTTCTGCCAAGGCCATTTGGATCTTTATCACATCATTTGTGGGCCATACAAAATTATCAACTTAAAAATAAGCCTCCTATATTTGGTCAAACATTTAATTAACTCACCCCTAATGCCTTGGCAGGGCCAGACCACATGATTTTGTGGGCCTTCTATGGCCCGAGGGATGGACGTTCCCCATCCCCTGTTTTGTCTGACAGGCCCAGGTAGGTTGTACAGCCAGGCAAAGCAGCAGCTTCCCATGATGTTCCTATGACGAGAGCCTCTCTTACAATTTAAAAAGCTACATCTTAGAGGCAGCTAGCCAGGAGTCACCATAAAGAAGTGACCATAAAGAAGTGACTTCTTCCCTAAGAGGCTGTGACCCACCTCATCTTGGCCCGGGAGCCTGTCAATCCTGTTGCTGGTTCTCGGAAAGATACCAGGCGTGTCATGCCTCAGTGATGTACAAGGCCCGGGTTCCTTGTTGCAGGTCAGCTGATCCAGCCAAAGCAACTTGAGCTGTGGCCAGGAAGCCAGCCTGGGTAGCTCCTGAGGTCGCCTGCCTGCTGGGCAGCTTGTTATGTGGATGACCCATCTTCCCGGCCTACTCAGGACTCACCCCGTTCCTCACTTCTACTTGCACTTTCCAGAACGTGTCCATCGCAGCCAGAAAGCCCTTTGGAATTCAGAAGCCTGTCTCTCTAACAGTCCTGCCTTGTCCCTCCTTCTGCTCTTGGAGGGGCTGTTTTCCGCCCCCAGCTCCTGCTAGAAGTGAGCCGCTGGGAAGAGTTGCTCCAGGCTGTGCAGAGGCTGGGAGGGACCAGAAGGGGAAACTGGAAACCTGGTCTTCATACGGCAGCCTCCTTATTTGTCTGAGGTGGATTCCCAGAATAGCAAACAACTAGACACACCCGCATTTAAATATTAGCACCAAAGCCTTCTGGACAAGAAATAAAACTGTTTCTGTTTGGATGGCTTGGATCATCTATTCATGCGGATAATGAGGAATTGGCAGGACTCGGATCTTTGGTTCCATGGCTGTGGAGTTGTGACAGAACGTCCTCTGCCTGCTCCCTCTCTTGTTTGTGTCTATCCCTGTTTAGTTTTCCCCTCGGTTGAAAGACCACATTCTCTCTAAATGCCTGGAATGGAGAGTGGTCCCTCTCCCTCAGGCATGGGCTTGGCAGCTCCTGAGCGCTGAAGCTCACTGAGGAAAGCGGTGTGTGCAAAGTGGTGTGGGGTTGCTGTGGGTGCTGGTGGCAGCGGAGTAGGTCCTGGTGGTGGGATGGGGATGGGGGCAGATGGGGCTGACAGCTGGACCAAAGCGCAAGGCAGGAAGGTGGGACCAGAGGAAGGAGCGGGCTTCGAGGGCGATTAGATTCGGACTGTGCCTTTAGCCATTGGTGCATTAACCACTGATGTTATTTGCTGCTTTTCTCCAAAGCGGATTAAACCTTGTTAAGCAACTGGAGACATTTAGAGGAATCCATGAGACAGAGAAAAAATGGAAAAGCGAAGGATGGTTGATGTGACCCTCCCAGTGCTCAGTGTTTGAAAAGAGTGGGGGTGTAGAGGGCCAGTAAGTGGGGGCTGCTGGGAGGTGAATGCTGACAGAAGGTTGTTGCTGGCTCCACACTGCCCCTCCTCGTGCCTTTCCCAATTTATTTCAAAGGAGAAAGTGGAAAACTCCCTTCCGGCTCCAAGGGGCTACTGTTCTGGCTGTCTTGACCTCTTCCTCGGAGTCTTGGATGAAACTATAGTTCGTGTGAGTCTGCAACAAAGCTCTGCAGAGGGGACCTTCTGCACCTGTTGGTATTTGAGGCGCAGGAGTGTATACCCATGTGGGTGTGTGTGGATGTTTGTGTGTTATGCCTGTGTAAAGAAATCCCCTTTCTAGAGATTGTCCTGCTAATTAGCCTTGCTGTCCTGGATACTTTCCCCCTCCCCCCCCAAAATATATTATTTTAATGAAGTTAAAAGTGATCTTAAAAACTCTTTAAAAGTTAACATTGTTAGGTCAAACACACAACTTTTGGCTAATGCAAAACTCATATTCACATGCACACTCAAAGGATAAAGCTAAATTTCTTCAGATTACATACGCCTTTACCAGCCTGAGATATGGCATTTTCTCCATCTAGCTTTATTCCATACATAGTTTCTGTTACTTCTGTATTATCAAAGAAGAGGCCACAAAAAAGGTAGCTATCATGTGAGTCCACACAATGAGAAAGTAAGCAAAATCAATGAAGTTACAGTTTATCTCCCAATATCTTTTAAACCAATAGTTCCATCTTCTTTGCCTTCTAAATGTACTGCTGAGACTAATGAAAAGTAGAAGAATTAACGAATCTGGCTGGTTTTTTCCCCCTCCCTTTTCTCATCAGTGTCTGATGGAGATGCTGTAATTAGCAATGTAATGAGAAGTGAAGGGTAAACAAGAAGAATTATTCCCAGAACATGCATTGAGGGATGGAAGACCGGAACTGGAAAACCAGCCTGAGTTAAAATATCCCCTATGCCTAACCAAAGGGGTCATGCCTAGAGTCCCACACACAGATGTTTCTAGGCAATGACGACGGAGAAAACTGTTGGTGGCATTGCCTTCAGAGGCGCTAACTTACACCTAAGTCTGGACACCTGTCGCTCTACCTTTCTGGCATGAAGGTTTGGTTCTCTGTTTATCTGAGACTCAAATCTAAAACTCTCCAATAGTGGGTCTCTCTACACATTCCTTTTAAAGATAAATAATTGGCAAATAAGCTCGCATTGGAAACTTATTTTTTCAAAATAGTTTAGGGTACCTTTAAAGGCTTTAGATCTAGAAGGCTCTTTGCATATCTAATGCTAGTCCCACATCCTCCTTTTGTTAATGAAGAGAGAGAGAGTCTGAGCGGTCACATGACTTGTTGGAAGCCTAGGTTTTAGGCAGGACTCCTGAGACCCAGCCCAGTGCTTTCTCCAGGGAACTCGGTGGCCAAGGACGTTTTCCTGCCGCATCTGTGATATTGTTTAAGAGCTGCTCCCTGTGACAGAACCTGGCGAGTTCCTGAAGTGCTTCTGAATGTGCACTACTTTCTCTTCCTATTCTGGCTTTTAAAGAAGTAACTCCCTTTTCTCAGTTAAGTGGAATATTCCAACCTGGCACCCATTTGCCAACCATTGAGAAGGAATGGAGAGGCCCTACTCATGTCGTGCACTCAGAGCCTTGTCATTGCCTGCTTCCGTTCTGACCCTACCAGGTTGGAGGCCTCTAGAATGTACTGTGCATCTCTTCCCTTCAGTGTGTGTTTCAGATAAAGTCCACTTCAAGTGAAATGTGTCTAAGCCTTTACTCTACGCCCCCTCAGTTATTACCTGTAATAGTATTCTTACGCTTGCTTGGTTTATGTTAATGGGGGAATCGAACTTGTAAGTGGTTGGCCTGTCAGTTATTATAATAGCTATTTTTGATCTTGGAGATGAAACAAATGCTTCAGAAACCACCTTCAGATATAAAAATCTAAAGATCCTGTTACCAGGATGATGGAATTAAAAATAAAGAATTAGCCTGGCAGGCATGGCTTAGTGGTTGAGTGTTGACCTATGAACCAGGAAGTCATGGTTCGATTCCCAGTCAGGGCACATGCCCAGATTATGTGCAGGAGGCAGCTGATCAATGATTCTGTGTCATCATTGATGTTTCTATCTCTCCCTCCCTCTCTGAAATCAATAAAAATGTATTTTTAAAAAATAAAGATGCCGAAACCGGTTTGGCTCAGTGGATAGAGCGTCAGCCTGCGGACTGAAGGGTCCCAGGTTCGATTCCGGTCAAGGGCATGTACCTGGGTTGCGGGCATATCCCCAGTAGGAGATGTGCAGGAGGCAGCTGATCGATGTTTCTCTCTCATCGATGTTTCTAACTCTCTATCTCTCTCCCTTCCTCTCTGTAAAAAATCAATAAAATATATATAAAAAAAAATAAAAAAAAATAAAGAAATAATCTATTTCACCGAGTACTCTTCTCCAATTACAGGTGAAGGTAAGAGCTAACCCAATTGCCTGCAAACTCATTTGAACAAGTGTCTCATTTTGAATAACTGCAGGGAAAGAGTCAGAAATAGCAGTTTTTTGCTGCAACATCTTTATTTCTAAAGTGTGATTTTTCATATTTCATGATTGTTGACTTTTTTTCTTCTTGACAAACACACACACACAAAATCTGCTAGGTTATATTCATACATTCACAGCTGCCACAGTCCCTCTCGGTATTCTGTAAATGAGGTTTCTAGTGTGAGATCATTAATTAAACTATTTTCTTTTGTCTTCCAGAACAAGGAAAAAGCAATCTTCATGTAACGTCATTAGAAGATGCAGAATGCCGAAGAACCAAGGAACGCCTTTCTAATGGGAACAGTCGAGTTTCCGTTTCCAAGGCTTCCCGAAACATCCCACGGAGACACACCCTAGGTGGGCCCCGAAGTTCCAAAGAAATACTGGGAATGCAAACATCTGAGATGGATAGGAAGAGAGAAGCTTTCCTGGAACATCTCAAGCAGAAATACCCGCATCATGCCACAGCAATCATGGGCCACCAGGAGAGGCTGAGAGACCAGGTACGAATGTGCTACCATTTCGCTCTGCAAAGCTCATTCTTTAATGAACATGAAGGAAAGCAAAGTGACCTTTGGTTTAAAAGGGGAAAAATAATTGAGTGGACTGTGCCCACCACTAAGTTGCTCCATATCACAGGAAGAGAGATCCAGAGAGTGGGCAGTTCTCCGAAAAGGGTCCCCATGGTCAGCCACAAATGCATCTGAAGTGCGGGCAGGGAAGGGGTACCACTTGACTGAATAAAGCATAGGATCAACTGCTTTGCACCCTGTTAGCACCGAGTGCTTGGCTCAGTGAATGAATGAGTATATAAATACGTTTTCAAGGTAAAACAGAGCACGGAGGGATAAACTTGAGACAAACCCCTTTTCCTTAAGAAACTGACATTAGGGTTTTGTTTCTGCTCACTTTTTTTCTTTTTAATCACAAATGTTTTCCTTTGCATGCTTGGTTTTCTGCTGTCTTCAGCTACCTGTTTTCTCAGGTTATCTTGACAGCCAGACAGATATCCCCCAACTGTGGCTTGGGGTGTTTTTGTTTCTTGTCTGTGTGCAATTACTTTTTAGCTGACAGGAGGCGGGAGGCCTTCTCTGTCGACCTCACAGCCATGTTATCAGATTGACCTTTCAGGATGGGGAACATAGCAAAGGACTCAGAGCATTTAGTGATTTGGGTGGTCAGGGAAGAGGGCAAGCTGTTATTGATTTCCACCCTCCAGGTAGAGAGGCAAGCACAGTGTTTTAAGTCTGCTATCTTGCAAATAAGTTAGTTATAAAAGTGATGTCTAACTAGCTCAACTTTTGAGCACCCATGGAAGTGGAGATTATCATCAGTTTAAATTATTTAAACGTATGCTTTATCTCAATTTCATTTCTTCCCCTTAAATTCAACCTTCTAAACTATAAAATCTTTATCAGAGTGCCTAAAACCGTGATGTGCTTTGTGGACTATGTGTTTGCTTTCTGTTCACATGGCCAAAAGGCAGTTGACCTAGAGAGGAGAAAAGAAATGGGAGCCCTGTTTGATGTGGAGATGTGCAGATCACTTGCTTGGTAATTAAGGAAAGGAAGGCTATCTTTTCATTTCAAGCATACATGCATACTGCGGAGCTACTGTGGGTTGGGTTGCAGACCACTGCGATAAATCTAGCCATAATCTTTTTGCTGGTAGAGAGTCTTGTCTTCCATCTGTAAACAGCACATCTGCCAAGGGCAGTAAAGTGAAGCACAATAAAATGAGGTGTGCCTGTATATAGAAAATACCCCCTGTTTTCTATTTTTAAATTGTACTTACTTATTTTTTACTTTTCCCAGTTTTATTGAGATATAATTGATATATAACATAAATACTCTTGTTTTCTATTAAAAGTAGAGTCACGATCCATTTAAGTACTAGAATCGGTACCTCTCCCTATGTCACATTTTTGGTGAGACACCATCCTATCTAATAAAAGAGAAACATGGTAATTAGTGTACGACCACTACCCTTCCCATTGGCTAATCAGGGAGATATGCAAATTAACTGCCAGCCAAGATGGTGGCCGGCAGCAAGGCAGCTGGAAGCTAACATGAGGCTTGCTTGCTTCAGTGACGGAGGGAGCCAAGCTTCCCCGCCTGCCTTGCCGGCCTCTCAGCTGTACTCTAAGCAACATTGTAACAAATATAGAAGCTAAACAAAACCCCGGGCTTCAGCCAGCAGGACCGCAACATTGTTTCAAATACAGAAGGGTAAACAAAGGCCAGAAACCTGCTTTCAGCAGCGGAAGTCTCATAGCTGGAGCCGAGCCTCAGAGCTAAAGCTGGCCCAGAATTAAAAAAAAGGAAAAAAGGAGCGGTTGGGAGCTTCAGTCACTCGCCAGCCTGAAAATGGCCCTCAGCCCCTCACCCAGGCTGGCCAGGCACCCCAGTGGGGACCCCCACCTTAAAGGGTGTGTGACCAGCTGCAAACAGCCATCATCCCCTCACCCAGGCTGTCCAGGCACCCAAGTGGGACCCCCACCCTGATCCAGGACACCCTTCAGGGCAAACCAGCCAGCCCCCACCCGTGCACCAGGCTTCTATCCTATATAGTAAAAGGGTAATAGGCCTCCTAGCACCGGGATCAGTGGACCCGCGAGGCCTCCCAGCACTGGGATCAGTGTGACAGGGAGCAGCGCCCAAACCCCCTGATCGCCCTGCGGCTCTGTGTGTGACAGGGGGCGTGGCCACAACCTCCCTATCCGCCCTGCTCTGTTCCTGACAGGGGGGAGTTCCTCAACCCCCTGATCAGCCCTGCTCTGTGCGTGACAGGGGGGAGCTCCCCAACCCCCTGATTGCCCTGTGGCTCTGTGTGTGACAGGGTGCGGCGCCCCAACCCCCTGATTGGCCCTGCTCTGTGTGTGACGGGGGGAGCTCCCCAAACCCCTGATCGCCCTGCAGCTCTGTGTGTGACAGGGGGTGGGGCCACAACCTCCCTATCCACCCTGCTCTGTTCCTGACAGGGTGGAGCTCCTCAACCCCCTGATCGGCCCTGCTCTGTTCCTGACAGGGGGGAGCTCCCCAACCCCCTGATCGCCCTGTGGCTCTGTGTGTGACAGGGTGTGGTGCCCCAACCGCCCCCCCCCCCCCCCCCCCGGATCGGCCCTGCCCTGAGTGTGACAGTGGCGGCATCCCAACCCCCTGATCCGCCCTGCTCTGTGTGTGACAGGGGGCAGTGCCCCAACTCCCCTATCGGCCCTGCTCTGTGCATGACAGGGGGGAGCTCTTCAACCCACTGATCGGCCCTGCTCTGTGTGTGACAGGGTATGGAGCCCCAACCCGCCTGATGGGCCCTGCTCTGTGCGTGATAGGGGGCAGAGCCCCAACCCCCTGATTGGCCCTGTTCTGTGCGTGATGGGGTGGCGCCGCAACCTCCCTATCAACCCTGCCTTGAGTGTGACAGGGGGCGGTGCCCCAACCCCCCAATCGGCCCTACCCTGAGTGTGACTAGGGGTGGCATCACAACCTCCCGATCCGCCCTGCTCTGTGCATGACAGAGGGCGGCGCCCCAACTCCCCAATCGGTCCTGCTTTGAGCCCGACCAGGGGCTGCACCTAGGGATTGGGCCTGCCCTCTGCCACCCGGGAGCAGGCCTAAGCCAGCAGGTCTTTATCTCCCCAGGGGTCCCAGACTGCAAGAGGGCACAGGCCGGGCTGAGGGACCCCCTCCCCCACCCCCCCAGTGCACAAACTTTTGTGCACCGGGCCTCTAGTATTTTATATGAAGCAGTTCCAATTGAGGAAACTCACTCAAGGTAGTTATAATTGCACAATTTGCTCAGAAGAAAGCTGGGATTTGAATCCAGATAAGTTTGAGCTCAGAATCCTTGTTTATTCCACTGTTCTGTAAGTGGAAGATCACTGATTATAGAGACAAGGTAGTGTGGTCTATGTCTAGGATGTAAGGGTCATGGAGTGTGTGTGTGTGTGTGTGTGTGTGTGTGTGTGTGTGTGTGTACATGCATGCACATGCACATGTGACCATGGGGGCAAGGGTCAGGGTAAAGGAAGCTAGAAAACTGATTATGTATTGAGTGAAGAGAGAAAATATTTTTTAATGTTAAAATATATTACTTTCTTTCTGAAATATAGAAATTAGTCTGTCAAAAATGGTATGTTTTTCATGTCAAAAATATTCCAGTTATTATCATTGCTGTTATTATTTGTGATGTCATGATTATAGCTACTACTATGATGATGGTGCTTTTAGGTTAAAACAATTACACGGGGAGCCTAAATATAGCTAGAAGGATGTAAAGGGCACATGGTGTCAGATGACAGGGAATAATGATGTAGGTTAGTGGCCTCAAGCTTTGATCTCTTGTCACATATATCTCTGCCCTGGGTGCAGTCCAGCCATGGCTGGGCAGCTGTGCCTTTGCTGGTAATTCAGGATGAATTTTTGTATATTCCAAGCTGACCACCCAAAAGGAGAAAGATTTTGATGCCCTGTTCTGTATATACATTTTTTATTCCACTGCTTTGTTGCAAATGAACCTTAATAAGCATTGTAAACATCAGTTATAAGCTCAGGCAAGGGTGTATGATATTCCTATGAACAGCACTTTCTCTAATGCCTTTTCCATTCTTTTTCTCCTGCCACTCTTTTCCTTCCTCTGTCCTTTCCTCTGCTCCATGACACCCTTTGTTTCTCCCTGACCTTCTCACAATGGATTATTCCAGGCTTCCTTTGCAGGAAGATACATGAGCTGCTATGAGGAGGAATTCCAATAGCACACATCTGATGCTCTTCTCCAGATTCTCAATACCATGTTCTCTTCTGGTATTTTATCATCAGTTTAAATTATTAAAACTTCACCAGGAAGGTGCTTGTTTGTCAGTCTAACCTGGGAAAAAGATACTTAGCTAGAGGGGTGGAGCCACTGCTAGCACGAAAAATCCTCCCAGAAAAGTGGCCTTAGTGAGGAGAGTGCCATTGAATAAGATGCTGAAAATGCTGTATTTAGCACCTTATATGAAATATTTTTTAAAAAAAATTTTTATTGAATTTATCAGGGTGACATTAGTTAACAAAATTATATAGGTTTCAAGTGTACAATTCTATAATGCATCATCTGCATATTGTATTGTATGTTAACTACCCAAAGTCAAGTCTCCTTCCATCACTAATTGTCCCCCCTTTATTCCCTTCTACCTCCCTGTTATTGATGGGGTGCCCTCTGTGTCCCCACCTGTTGCAGGTGGAAGTGGAATTCTTGCAATTTCAGCAAGGAGAGGAATTTTCTGAGGCTTGCACAGGAGGATGAGTGATATTGATTTCTGTGGAATTAAACCCCTGGGTTTCCAAGGCCCCATTTCCCTCCATGCTGCCATGGAAAAAGCCCAGTCTTGTCTTTAGCAGTGCTAGGCTTAAATCCAGTGCCCAGAGTTGCCTCTCTGTATTAAAGCACAGTCTAGTCCAGCATCTGGCTGGCTTAATTTGTGTTCCCAGCTGCAGTCCATTGCCCTTGGGGTCCACATGGGCAT